AGTTTAATGATCTTATCTATAAAATAATAATAATAAAAATAATAATAATAATAATAATAATATTTTCTCTCTCCAAAAAAAAAAATAATATAATAATAAATAGAAACTAATTATATTTCTCTTTTAAAATGTGGTAGTGCTTTTTTTTGTTTTTTGTTTTTTTAAGTTAGATTTTTTTATTGGACTACATCAATGGCATGGCATGGCATGACATCCTATCATGGAAAAACAAAAATCCTCGTGCCAGAATAATATTAAACTTCTGTAAAATATGGGAGAAATTTTTTTTCCTGAATAATTCTTGGACTACATCAATAATGGCATGGCGTGGCATCTTATCATGGAAAAAAAAAATCCACGTGCCAGAATAATTAAGAAACTTATGTAAAATATGAGAGAAATTTTTTTCTGAATAATTCCGATTTATATTTTTTTACTTTGAAGAAATTGAGCAAAAAATTAGGCTTTGGCTTTCCGTAATGAATTTGATGTATGACCTAACCTTGGATTAACATAGCTTTGGCGCCACAAAGTTTTGAATTTGACTAATCATTAAGGGATATATATATATATATGGCAGCTTTTTATTTAAATTGAAATAATTAATTTTGGGACCCTCTGTCCCACCTAGTAAAATGGATTGAACCGTTATCTCTTTTGTATTGCGGGCTTCACCCACACATAACTAGAGTGCAGAGAGACCCCCTTCTCCTGCTGATGTGTTTTTTAATGTTGCTTTCTCCTCGTCTTGATTTAAAAAATGTTTTAGTGTTGCTTTCCCCACTTGTCTTGATTTTAAAATTCTTTCTCCTCTTGTCTTGATCTTAAAATTGAATGCCGTACACCCCCCCCTCCCCACGGTTCTCACTTTCACTCTCACTCTCACTCTCACTCTCGGCCAACTTAAAAGTTAACTTTATAATATGAATGATCTTCTATTAGATTGGTTGTTCGAGTTGATAGGATTTATCACGAATCCCATTTTAATAATTTGAATTGTTTATTTTGTAAAGCTATTCATATATATTATTCACAAAAAAAAAAAAGCCGAATTAATAATTTTAAACTAAATTGATGTGGAGTAGTCATAGAGAAATTTAGCCAAAACCCATCCTGGAGTTGAACAGTGCTAGTTGTTGTTGAAAAAAAAAAAAGCTATGAGATCTGTTGTTTTTTTATTCACCTTAGTTTATGTTTGTTTCAAGCAATAGGGTCTCAGTTTATGGAAAATAATTTTGTTCACCCGACAAAACCCTCCTCTCGATTCGTTAAAACAATGACATTAGATGGTGAATCCGATTGTTTTAATCAAATTAGGGAAGAGGGTTTCCTTAGGTGGGTGAATAAAATTGGTGTGTCGATTGTGTTGATTAAGCTGATTAAGTTTAGTGCTAGTTTTTAGTCTGTAAGATATGTGCCCTCTTCGTCTGTTGTTGTTTTCTGAAAGTTTTAGAGAGTTGGTGACGTTCTTGGAGGAGGGTGGTTTGTTTTGTATTTGGAGGGTTGTTAATTTTCAGTTGTTTCTGTCTAGTTATGTAATTTGCACTTGTTTTCTTTGTATTGTGGCAATGAATTTAATGTTTGTTTTGTTTGTCTTTATACTGACTCATTTGAGAAGTTAATTATTTTAGTTTTTGATTATTTTATTAGGTCAAAATATTTATATTTGGAAAGATAATTGAATTTTTTTGTAGATAAATGTGATATTTGTGAGAAAAAAAAAATGAAATGATTATGAGTTTGATGTGATATTTTATGTTATTAATTATTTTAACTTATTTTATTTTATTATTATTATTTTTTTTTTTGTGAATTTTAATCCAAAAAGTAAAAAAAAAACCTTTTGCCAAATAAGGTGGTTGTTTTAGTACTCATAGATTTATATTGCATGGTAGCGCTGTGTTTGGTTGAGGGATTTAAGGAAGGATTTGAAAAGAGAAATAAAAAAGTTAGGTGAAATATAAATAAAATATACCTACATTTAATTTAGTTTCACACACCTTTTCCTTTTTTCTTTTGTAAATCTCTCCCTAAATCCCTCAATCAAACAAAGTATAAACGTATTGCATGGTAAGCCTGAAGTCTGAAGCCTTAGTCATGTTGAACAATACATAAGTTGATTGCATGGTAAGTGAGGTTATTAGATAAATAAACGCATCACGTAAGTCATGTTTTTTTGTCTAATTAGGTTGAATGTAATGATGAGTAAGTGATGAGATTTTCAATTTAGTATTATACTAAACAATTGGATAGGTAAGAGAAAGTACATTTGTTTGTTTAGAAATAAATTTACAAAATTATATAAAAAACACTTATCACATGTAAGATAACTTTGTTATGTTTATAAAATGCAAACAAATATATATTTTAATCACCAACCCATGGAAATGAATTAGCAATTTCAACCCTTTCATGAGATGATCCGAATTCTATTCAACATTTTTTTGTCTCTAGCCATCATCTAACACTTGATCCAAAAATCAAGAAATAACAATTAGTTATTATTTTGTGACTTTTGAATGAGTACCGAATAATGGCAAGATTTCAAAAAATATTAATGATAATCTCACCATAACAACTATTAATAATCTCATAAAATTGCTATAACATTTTTTCACAAACAAACGGAAGGTATGAGAGTGTTTACACCATAATATGGTGGATTGTCTTACACCGAATCATAACCCAATTGGTGGTAATATAAAACCTTCCCACAGGAAGAAATACAACTAGAAGTTTTGAATTTGAAATAAACAGTCACAATGATTGAAAACATGGTGACTGTTGCTTTGACATTGCAATTCGAATGTTTGCAACCATTGATCAAAGGCCACCATGTAAACTATAAATATATGGCATCACTACAATGGTTGTTCAACGGTTTTCTTTCTCTCTGAATTTTGTCTCTTCTGGATTGTATTTTCTTTGCGTGATAAGCACCCTCACAGGGACTCCGATTCATTGCCATTGTAAGATTATCTTTCAGTGGTATCAGAGCAAGTTTATACATTATCATATATGTCGAAATATAGTCCAGAAGAACGAAAAGTTTCCGAACTCTTTTTACTGAAAATTCAGAAATCATTGATCGTTAATCTTCGCAATTGGTGAATTCCGTTTGTTTATTTAATCATTACTAACGTGTTGTATTTGAAGAAAACTACCCAAAGAAAATAACTGTTGGTGGTGCTATTATTCCAGCCCTTGCCGAAAGTGAGGCCGAATTGTACCGTTGGAAGCAATTTTATAAAATATTTTTCAGTTCAAATTGCGTCTCCAAATTGGCACCATCTTGTTCTTCTCAAAATGTTGATCTTAACGATGAAATTCGTTGTGAAAAACGGCGAAAGATTAACCCACAAAGTTCAATTTACAGTTTGTGGTCTCTAACTCTATTTGCTGGAGAAGAAGATCAGAATAATTCCGTTAGAACATCTATGTTGAACATTCCTTCTATTAGGCTAAATTCAAAAGCAAAGAGGAAAGGCCCCAAAAATAAAATTACAGCAAGAAAATCTGTTCCCTTGGGCCTAAGAATTAAAAAGAAACCAATTGGGCCAATTTTGGTAGGAGCCCAAACCAGCCAGGCAGAGCCCATCAGCCCAGAACCAGAGGCGTAGCCCAGGCCAGCGACGTAGCCAGCCCAGCCTGCAGACCCACGTGCCAGCCCAGTCCCGTGCAACCCATGCCCGATTGCCCAGTGCATTGACCCGCGTTCCAGCCCAAGTCTGCGCCCAGATCCGCGCCTTGACCCGCCGGTTCAGCCCAGCCCTTGGACCGACAGCAGCCTGGTCCAAACAGTTTTTTGGCTCGTTCTCGCTCATTTCAAGGTCGTTTTCAATCATTCAAAAGCCAAAATTTCTAGAATTCTTCTAAGAATTTTTCCGTGGGTAATTGTACTAAATTTTCGGAAGAAATAATTAGGCAAGGAGGCTATCAAGGGTATTACACAGTAAAACATCCAAAGGAAAAATATTTAATAAGCACCGTTGTGTCCCTTGGGCTCGTAACTATTTTTACAATACTCATAAGGAAAGTATTGGCACTACAAAAAAATTACTTTTTTGCGACGGTAAAATGCCGTCGCAAATACTCAAAATGCCGTCTCAAAAGGTTTTTTGCGACGGTAAGTGGAGGGTCGCAACAAAAGGGGGTTGCAAAAGGGTTTTAGCGGCGGTATGACGCCGTCGCAAAAAAAAGGCGACGGCAAAAATGCCTTTTTGCGACGGAAAAATGCTGTCGCCATTAACGCATGAAAATCTGAGTTTTTTTGAGACGACACTGTGTTGCCGTCGCTAAAAGGGTTATTTGCGACGGCACAAATACCGTCGCTAAAGGGTTATTTGAGACAGCACTTGATGCCGTCGCTAAAGTACTATTGGCGACGGCAAATGACACCGTCGCTAAAAAACTTCATTTTCAACCAAATGCCCTATCTTTTGCGACGACAGTAATCCCTGGTTCTATTTTTCTTTTTGAGACGGTGTGTGTGTTGCTGTCTCAAAAAAAAAAAAAAAAAAAAAACTGTAATAAAATTATTAAAAATATGAAAATGGCCTGTATTAAATGAAATATAACTAAAAAATTTATTTTCATTCAGAATTGTTTTCCTGCATTTCTAAAAATTATGAGCTGTGTATACAATTATTTTCCTGAATTTCTAAAAATTATTTTCATTCAGAATTGTTGGTCTCAACTATGATTCAGGTTATCTGGCCTCGAGGAAAAGCATGCATTCACACCAGGAACATGAAATCCATCAAGCAACTTTGATATATAACATATTTTTCATCCTAAGCAATGGGGAAATAGAAAGTTGCAGCATATAAAATCACTAACAAATTTCTCATTAACCAAACCCATAACACCAAGGCTGTGTTTGGTGCCATGGAATGGGACTACATTTTTGGCAATGGACACACAACAATTATGATTCCGAATGATAAAAATTTAGAGGTGCCTAAGAAAAGCATAATGGATCTGGCATTCTAACATTCTGATCACAAAACCAGCAGCACGTCGTAGAACTTGAAATCCTTTTTCTTCGATTTTCCATCATTTTCCTGCATTTTCCGTTTCCTTTTCTTCTCATTCTGAAAAATTCCACCTCACAGAACAAATGTGTTCATAAATACAAATTAAAACAAGTACAAAATCAGAAAGATTGTGAGAGATGCACACCTCGGCAACCATGTCACTGAAATCCTCCCGCTGACTACGCAGCTTCTCCTCCTCCTTGCTTCCTCATATCTGTGAAATGCAAAATAAATATGAATTAAGCGCCTTGTAGCTAATGTACTGATACTGATACTGACACTAAACAAACTATGAGGACTCGGACTTACTTTGCATGCAAGACATAGTTCATTACTTCCAACTCTTCTGGTTGTAATGTGACATCAACTTTATCTAATTTCTGACTTCTGAGCAGATCAACCTAAAAAAAGAAATAACATGAACAATAAAATGAGACGCATCATTAAGCCTGTGACTCGTATGGATCAATCACACAGATTATATTTTCAGGTAAATTCACCCCAACACAGAATCTGAAAGGATTTTGCAAATTTGCTTAATTGTAAAATTGAACATGAATGATATATGATTCGCAATTCGGATATAATTAGCGGTTAGGGGAGTAGAAGATCAATGACGGAACCAAATATTTTTCTCAAAGCCCATAGACAAAACAAATCATGTACAGGCTACAGCAGAATATCTAAAACTACATGCATTCTTCAGTGCTCACATAGAAACTAACAAAGCATGATTCATAGAACTAGTGGCATGTGGCCCAATTGGTGAAATTAGGTCAACTTCAAAACAGAAATTTACTTGTTAAGATTTAAATATCCACTTCATGCAATAGGGGAGCACAAATGCCATTCATATTCAGGGTAAGTTTGGGAAGTTAAAAAATAGCCAAAAAAGCCACACACACAAAAAAAAAAAAAAAAAAAAATTACTAAAAACGGAAGACTACTTCTCATGCCCATGAATCTGAAGATAGGATAGGAAACAATCAAAGTACTAGGATGACAAAAATTCCCTACAATGCATTAATTTACAGATGACGATGACTATGATGAAGATGAGAACAAGGATGCAAAGTTACTAATATGAGATACAGAGAGTGCGATGAATATTAAGGAATTAGATGAAAACATATGGAAAGGATTAAGATATTTGCTAAACAAGGACATTCCTGGTTTACCATTGTATTCAATTTTTGACAAACATCACACACATCAAATTAAGTGAATAACAACTTTGGGTCTCAATGGCAGCATTTCTTATAAGATTTCTACATCAAACCTCTTGCTTCTAACTCAGAAACCAACTTATGTTAACCAATCTATTAGTCATATAGAATAAATCTTGTAATGAAATTGTTAGTGACTTGCCAAATGCACCAACATAGAAATTGTTAGTCATCCATCCAACCTCATAATAATGGAATGAATAAAAATAAAGCAAAGCCTCCCATTATGTCTGCCAGTATCTGAAACAGTGATTAGATATGCTTTTGCTGTCTCATTAAACAGCAATTAAGAGAAATAGTAACATGGCCTATATCAAGCATGACTACATATGAAAAAATAGTAAATCAAGGCAAGTGAGCTCAACTAACACCTTGCTATGGGAACATGATGGGTATATAGTAGCAAGGGTGAAACCTCCAACAAACAAATACATTGTGTGTGTGTACGCGCGCGCGCACGCGCGTATGTGTGGGTATGTGTGGGTGTGTGTGTGTGAAAAAGAGAGAGAGAGAGATGAATTTGGTGCATCCACTTTAACTTTTTTTCTCTTTTTTTTTTCTTTTTTTTTTTGACAGTAAAATAACATTCATTAGAATAAAACATCCACCTTAACTAATTATAAAGACAATACAAGTATACAGCAAGGTATCACTGCATCTAATCACATACAAGCAGAAGGCAAACTTCAAAGTGAAAGAGAACAAGCACTTAATATTTACTTGTTTTGCACATCAGTTTACTCTCAAGAGAGAGAGAGAGAGAGAGAGAGAGAGAGAGAGAGAGAATTTAAATTATTTGAGCTCTAGATAGCATCTGTTTCAAAAGGTGGATGTACGAGTAAAGACTCTCAGGTTCATGAAACTGCAGCTCACCACTATATTATATTATGTCATCTCTGGAAAAAATAACCAGTTACAAAAGAACTTGTAACAAGCTATGGCAATGAACTTGAAGGCTTATAGGGCACAACTCAAAATATCTATTCAAAATAAGCCTGAATCAAATGATTCCAATCTTAGGTCTGAAACCCATTAAAAAAGGATCCCACAAAGCAATATCCAATAAAACATTGCATTTAGCACTTGAATCTTATATGATGTAAGTTTGGCAAATATCTCCTGTAACTAATCTTTTCCCACAATGTATTTAAATTGCCAAGAATGTAACTATATTTTAGACAAAAGCCTTCTCAACAGTATGTATAGAATTGCAGGTATTTATAACCAAACCAAAACTAAGCTTTGTGTTCCAATTAAGTGGGGTTAGCTACATGAATTTGTTTCATCATTCTACTCTATCAAGGATATGTTACATAAACTCTTCAATATAAATCAAATACTCGTGTTGAACGCCCGACATTTTGATAAGAGTATGAGATATGTGTTGACACTTATATATTTGTATTAACACCATTTTATCTCACACTTATATATTTGTGTGTAAATTATAAATTTGGAAAAGAATTAGGAAATAAATAAAAAAAGGCGAGAGAAATGAAGAAAAAAAAAGTAAATTATGGCTCGTATTTCTTTGCATTCTCAACAAAATCATAAATCAAGCCAAAACCAGTAGATTTGCCTCTTCCAAAATGGGTCTGGAACTTAAAAACAAAGATGGCATTTGGGTCTTTCACCTACATCCTAGATAATTTTTCCTTTAGCTCCGCCTTCAATTCAAAAAAGAAAAAAGAAAACCCAAAAGGAAAAAATGTAGAACAACCAATCAAAAAATATTATGTAGAACCAAACAAAGTAAATCTACCAGAAATAGAATATAACCTGAAAATGTGCATTAATAGGTAATGGCTATACGACCAGGATATTAAAATTAAAATATGTCCCAAGGACATATGTAGGAGTTATGATGAATAGAAACATACCTCTTCATTGGGATTTGGGAACTCTATCTTTCTGTCAATCCTTCCAGGCCTCAGAAGGGCTTGATCCAAAATGTCAGTGCGATTTGTAGCCATCAAAACCTGTGAAAAGTAGTTGTCTTGTGATCAAATTATTTGTATGAAGGGGCAAGTTTTAATCTGGTGAACAATTTCACCAATGCACACAAGTAGGGAATCAGTACTTTGATTTTGTTAGATGCTTCAAATCCATCCAGTTGATTGAGAAGCTCTAGCATGGTCCACTGCACTTCACTATCACCATTGCCAAATCCGGATTCCATTTGAGCTGATCCAATACTGTCGATTTCATCCATAAAGATGATTGATGGAGCATATTCTTTGTGAAACATCAACCAATAAGAAATCAGAGACTTATAGGAACTCTATAACATTTTCCAGGCTAACATAGTTCAATATCCCAATATATGAGGTATTGCACATATTTTGCAACAACAATGTTGTCAATGCAAGATATCAGACAAACCTGGCCATAACAAAAAGTTCTCTCACCATTCGAGAGCCCTCGCGAATATACTTCTGAACCAACTCAGAGCCAGAAACCCTTATAAAGGTGCAATCAGTATGATGAGCCACTGCCCTCACCAAAAGTGTTTTCCCAGTACCGGGTGGCCCATAAAGCAAAACTCCCTATTAGTTAAGAGAAAATTAACAGTTAGATGCTTGCAATTCAAAATTAACTACCTAGACATGATTCTTAACTAGTCCATTAAACGGAGATTTATTACAGGTATAGTGGAAATGAAATGAATTATGGATAAAAGTTTCAGCTTTTTATTCCCTAAAATTTCATCTATATGAATCCAGTACTGTACATGTACTTGAAATTGGGTGGTGGGAAGGAAAGGTGCAAGAGCTCCAGTCAAAGGGAGAGGTGAGAGCTCTGTTTGCTTAGTTTGCTGGTCACGGCTGGAGAGAGAAGCTAAGGACTCCGAAGAACTTCGTTTGCTGGTAATGGCTATCGATAGAGAAGCTAAGGACTCCGACAATGGTCGTCGATGTCTAGATTCCTTCATTCACAGTCGCGCGTGCCCGCGAGAGAGAGAGAGAGAGATATTTGGTAGAAATTAGGGATTTTGGTTCTAAGAGATTGGGGATTTTGGGGGGCGCGGGAATGGGAAAAAATGGGGGAACCGAGTGGGCGGGATTGGGAAAAAAATAATAATAATAATAATTTTCATCATAAATGAATATTTAAATAATAAAAAAAATAAATAATAATTTTCATTTTCTTTTCGTTACTAAGGTTGAGAATTTATTTGTTTCATTTTTATTTTAATGAATGAAAAATTATTATTATTATTTTTTATTTGGTAGAAGTAAGGATAATATTTGAGGGAGACATAGAGAGAAGACCAATGAGAGAGATAGAGAGAAGAAAGATGAACGAAAGACACACAGACAAACAGACAAACAGATAGATAGACAAACAAACAGAGAAATAAGAGTGATGAGTGAAAGAGAGAAAGAGAACAGTGGTGGTAGTTGAATGGCATTTGCAGTAGTGGTAAATGTGGTAGAGAAGATGGGTGGTGAGAGAGAGAGATGAGTGAGAGACGAATAGAGAAAAGAGATAGAGTGACAGAGAAAGAGACAGAGACAGAGTGATGAGCAAGAAAAAGACAAAGTGGTCGCTAAAAGTGCATTTTCTTGTAGTGGATCGATAAATCGAAAGGGAGCTCAATAAATAAAGAAGAGATGAGAGAGAGAGTGAGTAAGGCGAGCACAGTGGGAGAGACAGACAGACAGACAAATAGACAGGCAGACAGAGAGAGAGAAGAGTGATGAGTGAGAGAGAGAGAAAGACGGAGAGAGAAAGAGATAGAGAGAGAAATAGATAAAAAAAGAGAGAGAAACAAGATATGAGCAAGAGATAAACTAAAAGATAGAGAAAGAAAGTGAAAAGAGATTAACGAGAGAGACATAGAAAAAAAAAAAGAGACAGAGAGAGTGGTAGTGGTAGTGGTCATAGTTCCACCCATTGATTTAAGTATAGTGTTTGTTTTGAGCTTTCAAATCATAATTCTACATCCATTTTTCAAAACTCAATTCAAAATATAATCATTACTTTTCGAAACTCATAACTAAACACATAATTCAAAACTTTTTTCAAAGCTTAATTCAAATCAATTTTTTAAATATTTAAATATTTTAAAAATATTTTAATTTTGTGAGAGACAAATAAAGAAGAGAGATAGAGACAGAGACAGAGATAGAGTGATGAGCACGCGCGCGCGCGCGAGAGAGACAGAGAGAGAGAGAGAGAGAGAGAGAGAGAGAGAAAGTGGTTGCTAAAAGTGTATTTTCTTATAGTGGATTGATAAATCGAGAAGGAGCTCGATAAATAGAGAAGATGAGAGTAAGAGAGTGAGCAAGGCGAACATAGTGAGAAATAAATAGACAAGTAAACAGAGAGAGAGAGAGAAGAGTGATGAGTGAGAGAGAGACAGAGAGAGAGAGAGATAGATAGAAAAAGAGATAGAGAGAGAGAAGAGTGATGAGTGAGAGAGAGACATGAAGAGAGAGAGATAGATAGAAAAAGAGATAGAGAGAGAGAGATAGAGGGAGAGATAGAAAAAGAGAGAGAAACAAGAGATGAGCGAGAGATAGACAAAAAAAAGAGAGAAATAAAGCGAAAAGAGATGAGCGAGAGAGAGACACAGAAAAAGAGAAGACAGAGAGAGAAGAGAAATGGGCGAGAGAGATAGAGAGATACAGAAAGATAAGAGAGAGAGAAAGAGAGAGAAAAGAAATAAGAGAGAAGAGAGATGAGCGAGACAGACAGAGAGAGAAAACAGATGAGAGAGATAGAGAGAAGAGAGATAGGCGAGAGACACAGAGAGAAAATGAGAGAGAGAAACAGACAGACAGAGAAAGAAGAGTGATGAGTGAAAAAGATAAAGAGAAGAGAGAGAGATAGAGACAGAGAGACAGGAAGATGAAAAAATAAATGAAAAGAGAAATGTTATATCAAAAGAGTAAGACGACATTGTTTTTTTAATTTTTTTTTTGCGGCAGAAACATACCGTTGAATTTATTCAAACCATTTTGTGACTGTATATATATGAAGCTATCTCAAAACCACAATCACTATGCTAGGTTAGAGTTTTCCAAAAACTCTTTTGAGAAAATTATACTTTCTTGTTTTCCGTGTTATATTATTTTTACTGAATTTTTTTAATATTTTAAGTATTTTTTTTTAATTTTTAGACACATCTAACATAAATACACCTAAAAATTAAAAAAGTTGTAAAAAAATCTTTTAAAAATTCACTAAATACAAAAAATACAAAAAAAAAACAATAATTCAATACATTTTTTTTTTAAATACCAAAAATACAAAAAAAAAACAATAATTCAATACATTTTTTTTTTGTATTTTTATGTATTTATTAATTTTTAAAAATATTTTTTCCTAAATTTTTTATTTTTTAGATACATCTAAGTAAGGTGCATCTTAAAAAAATATTTAAAATTTTAAAAATATTCACTAAAAACAAAAAAAAAAACACACGAAAGTCACTCTTTGTGACGGCAGAAAATGCCGTCTCAAAAAAGCAGAGTATTTGCGACGGCACCATTTGTTGTCTCAAAAAAGCAGAGAATTTGCGACGGCACAATTTGCCGTCTCAAAAAATGAGAGTATTTGCGACGGCAGAAAAAGTGACTTTTCAAGACGGCAAGTGTGCCGTCACAAATAGTTCCGTCTCATAAACCCACTTTTCTTATAGTGTGGGTTTAATAGGCCATTAGGTTTTCATCATTGTTCTTACCTAAGGCAAGACGACCGAGTTTTTGCTTATCACGGGGACCGACACAACAACTACAAGGCTTATCCTTATTAAGACTTGTTGTCGTATTTAATTGTGCTTATTTGTTTATTTTAGTTTGTAATATCTATATTTGGATTTTTTTATTGTAACACATTTTGTTTTTTTGTTTTTAGTATGGCTATTAAAAATGCCATGGATTCTTCAAGAATTGAGATGCTTAACGGAAATAATTTCCGAGCATGGAAATGTCACATTTCTTATCTTCTTACACATGAAAAAACATTACACACTCTATCCACTTATAAACCAGGTGATGATTCTAATTGGTTTCAAAATAAGTGGATTGAAGATAATGCAATGACAAAGGCAACTATGTTACATAATATGAAAGATAATATTATTCCGCTTTTTGAAGAACATGAAACTGCAAAACTATTAATAGAAGCACTAAGAAGTAAGTATGGAATTTGATCGGACACTCAAATTCAATTGCTCTTGAACAAATATAATAACACTCGTATGAGTGATAATGATAGTGTTGGTGATTATGTTAATCAAATGGAATTAATTGCTAAAGAATTATCCAGCGCTGATCACCCTTTGTCGACAAGATACAAGTAACTACCATACGTAATAGTCTTCCATTATCTTGGGATCATGTTGTCACATCTTTAACTCATAGCGAACGAGAGATTTCAATGGTGATATTGCCAGTACTCTTAGTGTTGGAAGAAGAAAGAATAAAGCGAAGGCGTAAAGAAGGTTTGTCTTCTAACTTATTGATGGCACAATCTTTACCACAACCTCAAAATAATTCCCACACTCCATTCAACAAGAAAAAGACTACTTCTTTCAAGAAAAAATGGAAAAAGGGGTTTCAGAAAGGATGGAAGAAACAGCAAGAATGGCAAAAACAACATCACAAACATCAGATTGGCCCATATTACAAGTGCGGTCAAAATGGTCATATCAAAGCCACTTGTCCTCTGAAGAAGCAGAAAAAGGATCATAATCCTATTGCCATGACAGTTTCTGAAGCAATGGTACTTGAACCTTCATCAAATGCATGGTGGATTGATTCTGCTACTACTAGGCATATTGTGCAAAATAAAGACATGTTCGTGGAGTTTACTGAAAAGAAGGTTGGTGAACACAAAATCTACATGGGCTCCTATAATGATGTTTTGGGCATCGGCAACTGTCAATTCTCTATTAATGGAACTTCTATTGTGCTTCATGATGTGTTTTATGTACCCAGCATTCGTCGAAATTTAATTTCAGTTCCGGTATTAACCCAAAAGGGTTTTGAGATTAATTTTAGGTTTAACATAGTATTGATTAAGAAATGGAATATCTTAGTGACAGGTGTAAGAGTGGATGACATGTACTCTCTTCCTATTGATAATAATAAAGTATGTATTTCTGATTATTTGTCTGTTTCTACTAGTAATAGTTCTTATTTATGGTATCTAAGATTAAGTCGCATTAATAAAAATAAAATGTCTCGAATGTTTAAAAGTGGCTTATTGCCTAAAGTATGTTCCGATGATTTTGATGTATGTGAACCACGTATCAAAGGTAAAATGACTAGTAAGCCATTTTTGAAACATTGGAAATTATCGAAATTACTCGAAATAATTCATTCGGACATTTGTAGCTCTTTAAGAACTAAAACTCATCGAAGTATGGAATACTTTATTACTTTCATTGATGATTATTCGAGATATGGACATATCTACCTTCTTACATACAAATCAAAGGCAATTAAAAAGTTTAAGGAATATAGATTAGAGGTAGAAAATCAACTTGGTCGGTCCATTAAACACTTGAATAATGATAGAGGTGGCGAATATGAAGCTATGGATTCTTTCTGCAAGGACAATGGCATAAAACATTTGTTTACAATGCTATACACACCACAACAAAATGGGGCTGCAGAAAGACGAAATCGTACTCTAATGGAAATGACAAGGTCTATGTTAACTCATGCTGATCTTCCTATTCATTTTGGGAGGGAAGCCTTATCCACCGCTACGTACATATTAAATAGAGTCGAAACAAAAGCTAAACCTCTAACTCCTTACGAATGCTGGCATGGTACTAAACCTAATGTTCAAAATCTCAAAGTTTGGGGATGTAAAGCACATGTACTTATTCCCAAACTTTTAAGTGATAAATTGGAAAGCAAAACTTGGGAATGCAAGTTTATTAGTTATGTTGAAAATGGGAGTGGTTATCGTTTT